TATCACTACTAAAGGACAATAAAACCTCAGGCCTCAATGGAGCTGACTCCAAGAGGAAGAGCAAGTGATAAACCTAGAAGACGGGACACATTCTGGAATATGAGCACAGCACCTTTTCCAGGTAAGGACGGTTTTGAGCACAGTCAACATGTGAACACAGACCACATTTAAAACATCAAACAAAAACCATGCTATATGGTTCACCAAGAGAACTGGGTTTATAGTGAAATTTATTGTTCTGCTTCCTAATACAATAGGCTACAAGGTACATACAGTATAAAACGAGAACGGCCACAAAGCAAAAGTGATAGACATTCTGTGACGGTACAGTGGAGATAACATCCTCTGTCTAATTCTTCCACTTTATCCCACAAACAGCAGCTAAAACTACAGGCCCTCCCCTTCCCTCCCCTCCAAAAATATTAAAAAGGAAAATGTCTCTTTCACTTAGGAGCAGTGGAATTTTTTGTTTTTTTGAGGGCACTGGTTATCTGCCAATATCTCAAGAAAATTGCTGAAACTGAAGTAACAAAAGAAACAAAAACTGTGAAAGTGGGAGTGACATGACCCATGCAAGATGCTCATGACACCTTGGTTCACTTCTCCTCAGAGCAAACGGCCTGTAAAGAAAGGAAAAGTTAGTTAAACCAAGTAAAACAGCAATTTAAATGGTCAGAGTTAAGATACAGTAAAAGCAAAATGTGAACTAGACAAGACTAGGCACACAGCTAAACTATCCTCTTTATAATGAGAACACACTCTTTGTTAACAAGGTTTGAGGACTCTGATAGCTGATCTTTCTCCTTTAATATTTCGATACTTTACAGCAGAGTACACACCGAAATGCACCCAGTTGATACTTATTGTACAAGGCTCCAAATCAAATAATTTGGTCTGGGATAACTCTAACAATCAAGTGAACTGTATCCTCAACTCTTAACCACCCTCCCCAATTCCCCACTCCCCCCAAAAAACCCCAAAAAATCAAAGGCAAAAAACACATAAGAAGGCTGAACACTTACCTTAAAAGGCACAAAAATTCCATTTAATCACTTTCTCATATATACTTGGTGCGGTTGAGGGCTCTCTCAGCCAGATGACCACTTTCATCTGTTATCTTCTCCCAATCTGTCTGTCCAACAACAAAACCAATGGCCCTTTTCCTGTCTGCATCTTTTTTTTCTTCTAGATCTGCCCATCGCACCTACGGAAAACATACCATCAGTAGGATACTCCCTTAAGAAACTCTGAGACACTTCTAGGATTCTCGCTGCAGATGAGAGTACAAGAATTCTAATTTGTACTCATTTTAATTGACAGGAAAGTACTAATTTGTTTTCTGACAGGTAAAGATGGAAACTACAGCAGTTACACTATTTTTAATAATTGAATAACCTGAATGTTCTGTGAAGCGGAAAAATGAAGTAGATGATTACTTCTTCCATTTCTGTGCTATAATTTTGACAGTTGAGGTGTAATTACCGCTTTTATTTCTCTATTCAAAACAGTACTTTCTGCATGAAGAATGATCAAAGATTTATTTATTGCTCGTTAAAAGTATGGCACTGTAGCAAAATCCAGGATTTCAGTCCTAAATGAACTGAAACAGGAGGGTAGATAACATACACTGAACTCCTGTCATCGTTTTCTGTAAAAATCTGTCTTTCGGTTACACAATGGAAACATCTAAAAGTAGATTATCAAACTACAGGATGTCAGTGTAAAGAATAATTCAGCAATGAACGAGTGAATGAGGGACAGTTTTCTTCTCTAACCTCTGTGATATATTTCTACTAAAATCTTTCCTCTACTTCTTTATATTTAATAACTCCTTCATGCATTTATCATCTGTCATCTTTACAACTGCAGCCATCTCCTCTGTGGCTCTCTGTGGTCGTGCAGACAGCTTTCACTCATCCTCTTCCAACACGTACAGTCACTGTCACATCCACAAACACAGGTATCAAAGGAGGGCAGGGAAGACGTGATGAAGGGCTGTAGTCCAGAAACTAAGCCGGAACATGTGGTTGCAGGATCAGAAAAACAGTAAGTGAACAAACTCTTCCCTGACATGCTGTTTACTCCCATTCACACTGGTTTCATTACTTCACCTTTCTGTCAACGCCTCACTATTGCACATTCTACCTGAATTTCCTCAGACGTTCCTACTGAGAAGCAACACTTGCTTTCTCCTACCATCACTTTCTCTGCAAACATCTTAGTATCTCCATTTCCTTCATGCACACTGTCCAGTACTACCCACGTTTCCTACTTGACATTACAAAACAAAGCCCAAACACAGATAGTTAACTCAAATTATTTTAGCATCAGAGGTTAGTGAACCGCATTTCCAGTTAACCCATTCATTAAAAAGTAAGTATTGTACCATAAAGACCAAAATTATTCAGACCAGTTTCACCTTAAATCTTAGGACACTAATTCAACTGCAACCTATGTAAGGTCCATTCCTTAAAAGTTTTAATATAAAACTAGCTGTAACATACATAACAAAAAATTAGATTAATAAGACAATCATCTCTCAGAATCTGCACTGTATATCACAAAACACAACATAAGAACAGGACTCTACAGGTTTCTCTGAAATAAAGTGCATCTTTTGCCCCAGCGAGAAATGGAGCATAGCCCCTTCCTCAATCTCAGTGTCATGCCATACACCATTAACCTTTATTGTTTACAACTCCATTCTTCATTAATACTTCATCTGTTTACCTCCGGAAGACCCTGTTCTCAAGTATATTGTTACAGAATCTAATGGAATGGCAAAATTAAAGGAAGCGAGACATCAAAATTCCTATATTCACAGATACTGAATGTCTCGATACAAACTCTCGCTCAGAGACTCTTATAAACAGGTCATTTACAGACATTAGAAAATTGATTACCCTCTTCTTTCCAGGTTCAGAAGCACGTGTATCATAATCATCTGGAAGCTGTAGATAATCTTCCATTCTGCTGGCAATCGCTTCCCAGTCACGCTTCCTTTTAGTGCCAGTCCGCAAACCATCCAGCTTGTCTGAGAACAAACACAGAGCCTCAGAGTTAAAGGAGAATTTTTTCTATTACTCACACAAACAAGACGAGAGTGGAAATACTTTCAAAAGAATGAACAGAACTTATACATCCAGCTTGTCTTGGTAAGTGGAATGATGAGAGTTGAAATAAACTAGAGAAGACTCAACACCATTATCAAGTTTTATTGATCTTTCACATTAACTCTGTGGCAAAACACTCCATCTTGTTACTTGTATGAGGGAGAAGAGCTTGCTTTTCTGGATGTTCATACCATATGGAGTTCATCCTCAAAAGATACAATAGAGCTACCAAAAGCTGTTTAAGGAACCACATATCCAGCTGTTCTGCAGTTTAACACAATATTAACGCAGTAGCATTTCTTTCCTAATTTTGAGTTTAATATTGTGTCAAACATGACGTACAGGTAATAACAGGGAATAAATTACAATCATAAAATTAAACGCATTGAAGACCAATTTTTGGGCTACTGCTTCTACTTAACAGCCCCGCCGCCTGCAACCTTGACCACCATTTCTTCCCTCATCTTCTTTTCCTCCCTGTCCCCCAGGAAAAAAACAATACAAAATATCCTCCAGGACTGGAAACAAAATCTCAAAATCTTTCATTTCGTGGTGCCAGATGTCAGTCATGAATATTTGAGAAGTTTGTCCAACAGTCATCACTTTCTTCGAAGATTTTGCTTATTGAACCAATAAAACATGAGGAGAAACAATTCCATTCCTAGGTTCTAAAATTTTGTTCCTCTTTGGATACTTATTTTCAGTGAAGAAACAATACCTTCTTGAAATTAGGAGGCAAACTGCTTTTGTTAATGAGATGAAGTAATTATTCATCATAAGAACAATAAGGCATGAAAATGAAAAACGGTTTTACAATTCAGAATAAACTCTAGTACTTCTTCTGTTGATGTACGCTACTATTTTATAAGCCAACAATTAAGTATATGCAGAGGGAAAGCTAAGCTCATTAGGTACATTCTGTAAACCATTTCCACTGATGACAGTAACATTGGTTCAGAAGTTATTGACATAAATAAATTTGCCCAGAAAAGGCCTCTGAAACAACCCAAATATAAGACAGTATATTTTCTGGTTAGCAGAAGAGGATATTCAAGAGCACGTATTCAAAGAAAGCTCAGTTCAGAGATGAGTTTTTTGCTTAACGTGGGAGAGGGAAGAGTAACAACGGAGATAACGTGAGGCAATGACGATGCAGACATGCTGTAATATTTAAATGCTGTAAACTAATGAAGTCATTTCTCCCTCATACAACTCTAAAATGTTTAAGAATCTACCTTTGCCCCATTTCACTGGAACAGACACAGAATTTCTCCTAGGAAAACATGTTAATCCTCTCCACCAAAAAGAACATCATTTAAGAAAAATCGTGCAAAGTATTTGTATCTGTTACATAGTATCTTGTGACACGATTCACTTAAGGTTCTTCTTTTGTTCTAAGTTAAATCTGCCAAATTTGAAGCTCTATCTCCACAGAAAGACGGCACTCCCTCTAGAAGACAAAATTCATTTACAGAATAGCCTTCCGTTACTCCAGCACAACAGGTACTTGCACAATTCTTCACTATTACTTGCAGATCAATCAATGAGATCATTCATAGCATAAAGGTTTCCAGAACAAATGACATTTAAAAGGAGAGCAACAAACACATGGAGGAGCATTCAGGATCATGAAGAACTGAAAAGGCAGGAGCTCTCTGTTGACAGTTATATATAGACAGACATATTCCTGTTGGGAGACAGTACCTGATATAACACGCTACAATGCAAGTGCATCTCATTACCACCATGGAAGAGTTCACTCTCCCACTCCCTGTTGCACAAAATTGAAAATGGTGCCAAGAAATGTGTAACACTCAGACATAAACAGGAGAGTTCAGGAGGCCTTCAGAGTATGAGAATTCCTCCCCCCCCCCCACCTTTTTAAGAGCTTGTTATTGCTACATAGAATTTATTCTAAAATGTTATCTCCTCTTGTGTTTGAAGTTGAATCGTCTTTCCAAAGAGATCTGCTTCCATCCACATTAACACGGTTCAAGGTACATGTGTCATACAGCAAACACACTCTAAGGGTATGTCAAAAGCCTATCACAAAACATCATTTCAGAGGAGGGTTTTTTTCCCTGAAAATGAGACAAGGTGTCATTTAGTAACAATGGTGCTTGGGAATATTTATGGAAGATGATCAGTGTTAAACCATCAAACAAATCATTTTACCATTTCAATTTTAAGAACAATGAAGTAGCAAGTTTTCTGAAAATCCATAAAACTTAAAAACTCACCTTTAGAATTTTAATAATAAAAGCATCTCAAAGTGCCTGACCACTTTTTACTCCTTCAAAAATGAAATACTAAACTAAATGAATCAATCCAATTTTTGTCCTCCTTATACAAAAAACAGATAACGTTAAGTAAAATGCTATTTGCCTTCCACAGCAAATTTTATATTATCATCAAACCTTCAGCTATGGCAGAGATCATTTCTCCATCCATAAGAGTTTGTACAACCCACAGTTAAGCTCTATCTTGAAACAGGGTATTGTACTAAACATTTCAAATATAGCCAAATTTAAAAAAAAAGTTAGTCCATTTCTGAAAGCTTAAATAAAAGAACCTGTGTGTACTATGCACAGAGACAGACTGAAACAGTAGTGATTACATTTTAAATAGAAATGTGGCCATGCAGTAACAACACATAAAGAAATGATATACCAGCACATACACTCAGAGGAATGCACATCCCTGCCAAAGTAAATTTGAACTAAAGTAAGAGCTCTGGGGCAAACAGAACAGTGATTACTACAAGTCACTTTTGCAGCTAAAAACTCAAAGTTTTCAGACCTCTTCTGAGGCATGCTACAATCAGTAAAATCTCTTGTGCTTTACCTGTAATAATATCTACTCAGGAAAGAAAAACAAAAGGTAAAACAGGATTTATAGTGTTGTTTTTGGATTCTGCATTTATATCCCTTCTGCAAATGCATGCCCTCTGGGAATAGGGCAGTAAATATAGTGGACAGGTCAGCTCCCAGGAAATAACTCTACTTTGGAATGACAGATGCATATTACAGTTGACATGTCGTTCAGGAAATGCATCTAATTTGTCACCTACTGAAATGGGCCTGTGATTAACCAGATACAAAATTCTATTGTGAATTAAATATAATTATTCTTACTCACAGACTTTAAGTGCTTATAATGCATACTTTCAGCTAAAAGGTGTTTGCCCTTGCAAAACTATTTTTAAAGAAACAGCATTCATTGGGACGTCAGGCTTCTTTAAAACATGCATTCTGTCAGAACTTAATTTTAATCTGTAGTCCTATATATATTTCTCCTACAGATTTGCGAAAAGGAATTCAGAGGGTAGTTATACAAGTAAAATTGTGAACTCAGATTTAATGGAAAGACCTTCTCAGCACTTATACCTGTAACTTGTAGAATACTAACATCCAGTTTAATTGAGTTCTGATTGTTAAAAGATTATTGCAACAGTCTTGCAAGTAACTTACTTTAGCATAAGACTGACACTGCTGCACACTCCCCACTTTACATTTATAAGAAGTAGAGGTCATATAAAAATCCTCTTGCTTTTTATTTTATGGAGTTTTGATATGGGAAGAAACTCAACACCTTTCTTTGCTTCTATTTGTTAGAACTATTTGATCACGAGACAGGGAAATTTTGAAAACTTTCTGTAAATTTCTACAGCAGCCACAAACCCCACATTGCTATGAACAACACAAAATGTAAATACTTTTATAGAACATACTCTGGACTCCTGTGAAATTTGTAAAATACAGGGGGTGTCTTAAAAACATTCACTGTAGGTAGTGGAAAGATACCTGTTCCTGTTACTCAGTATTCAAAGAAAAGTTGAGGTTATTTGGAATGCAACACAATACATCAGAGATTTGCATTTTTTAACAGTACACAGGTTTTTTTTTTTTTTTTTTTAGAACTATCATTTCCTGCATAATCAAAACCGACAACCTAAGAAACAAACTTAAGACATCAGAGTAATTACCTCTGTACCAAGAACGCAGACAAATCCTGAGCGAGTTCTGTCTTTAACTGCCTAGTTGTTTGATATGCCTGACCCACTGAGTACAAGGCTTCTCCAATTGTACTGCAGGTGCCAAGAAGTCAAGATATTTCATAAACATTTAAGTGACTTTAAAAGAGAGCACAGCAGCAGAAGAGATGGTGCAGCTAAGCAGTTAACAGCAAGAAATGAAAGGCTGTTTTATGTAAGCCAGAACTTCTGGTGCTATTTCTATTGTGCAACTGTGATTTTGGTTACTGAAAAGTAGTGATACGCAGGGCCGTACTACACATGCAGAAGCAAACCTCGAGGAGTTAAGACATGCTGTGTCGCATTCAGATATATTTGTTACATATCATAACAGTGACAGAAATAGTAGTTTTATGCAGATTCTGTTTCCAAATCTTGTATTAGTTCCATAACTAACAAAATGACTGGAAACTCCTTTCCATGTGCACACATTCCATCAGAGCCATGGTGCCTGCATTTCAACCTAAAAGTTACTTTTAACTTTGACGGTATCCTGATATTATCACTTATATACCATGCAGCCAGAAGCGCTAAACAGAACAAAAGTGCAGCAAATAGTCCCCTTATACTCCTGGTAAGTCCTTTTTGCACCTTATTAAAAGAATCCTAGGACTCTTCGGGAATTTGAAGAGCACAACAAATTTTAACTTTCCAATACCTAAGCCACTGAAAAGAAACAGTGAAGACTAATCATTCAGGACCAACTTCAAAGTATGGCATTTTTTTGTTTGCATATACCAGTCTTGGAGAGCGAGAAATACCTTCAGTACAATTCCCTACCATGCATGTCTTCAAGAAGATAAGTAGTTATGAGGATATTTAGGCTTAAGGGAAAAATATATTTATGTAGCATGAATAAGAATGCAGTGTAATGTAAGTCGATTCTTTGCCTTTTACAACAGGAAGGAGATGAATAAAGAATAGAAATACGGATTTTTTAGAATTTTGAGACAAAATACTTTCCTTGAATATATGGAAGGACAATTAATGAGCATACAGAACAGTGATGGTTAGAAAGATCAGAATTCCCTTGCCTTTGCAGAAGTCTGAAATTGTCTTTTTCTGGAGATGCTTTTGTAGTTTCAGATATGCGTGTGCGTGAGATCAATACATTTATTTGTCTTTCGTAAGGAGGCACAGTAAAAATGTAAATTCAACTTCTGCAAATATCATCAGACACCAACTGTAAGAAACAGGAAAAAATAAATACCCACCTAGCTTTGCCTCAGAAGTGTCCATCTCCCATTTGCTTTTCGGAATGTAACCCTAAATCATACACAGAGAGAAGCTCGGAGGATTAGAGAGAGACACACATGCATATCACTTTTGAACTGGAAATAGCATTATAACGGGAGCTTAAGGTATTTCTTTTTGTAAGGAACAATTCTTGTTATCAGAGGAAGGAAACAAGTTACTCAGTATTTCAGAACTTCTGTATCCACTTCCCATTCAGTGATATAGCAGCCCTTGCACATCATTACAAGAGTGCTGCTCTCTGCAAACACAGAACTCTAGAACTAGAGCCTAACAGGTAGCAATGGTACTGAAACTGTGTGCACAGTACCATTTTATTTTACATTATTAATAGATTACATTATCCCAGGTGGCATACTTATTGCAACACAACCTATCAGGCATTAAGGATATTCAATGCTTATAAATACAAATGCAAAAATTACATTAGTCACATGCTTTTAAGAATGTCTTTCCAGAACAATTTACAACACATAAGCTTCATTTAATAACCGGTTTAAAGGAACTTACTAAATTTTTGTATGAGTGGTTAGGCCACACCTAAATACAATTCTTTTTCTAGCTTAAATGAGAGTTAGCATCTGCTGATTCACTGAGATTCAAGTATTATTGCTCATTTAAAAATTACCCTTTTATCATAGTTTAAAAAATGATTTTCTTTAAATGCTTTTTCCCTACAAATAATCTAACATCATACATTTTATATATAACAAGGTCTTTAGCCAGTTTACTCCTTGCAAATGAACCTACTGATTTTAAAGTTGGCAAGAAAATACTTACTTTAGATATTTTCTTGTAACCTTTTCATTCTATACTCTTGGACAAGTAAATACTTACTAAGCAACCCCTTATAACTCACTTCAGCTGTTTAAATTTGGCATAAAACTACTTACGTTTCTCTGCAGTCAAATAAAAAGCCCAATATAATGAAACAGAACCCCTGTGAGAGTTCACAGTTTTAAGAATGATTTTTAAGAGCGGGAAAAGACCTACTCTAAAAGATTTCAACAAGAGAACATACTTAATCCACAGATAGTTTTATTACACTAAATTCTTTTCTGCTCTATTTAGAGATTACCTCTACCGTGGTTAACATATACTTGTATTTGTAAATGCTAAGAATTACTAAATCCACGTATCATTCCACAGTCACACTGCTTTTGTTTTAGGTTTAGCATTGCTCTTCCAAAATCTTTTACAGAACTATTTTCTATCAAGCATATTTGAGATTATCACAGATGTATTTATTTTATTATCGTTTTTAATCAAGTATGTATTTAATATGAACTAAGACAGTCTGCACTGTAATATTTCACTGTAATAAATATATAAGTTTAACATATTAAACTTTTAAAACGCACTACACATTAAAATTTGCTCAAAAAAATTAAAACACAGCTACAAGCCTGTATTGTACAAATTGATGTGCGACACACTGGTGAGAACACTAAGTTAAACGCATCAATAATTCATACCATCAAGCACAGAAAAGAAAGAATCATCTGAACGCTACAAACAACCCTATGGGAGTTGATAATAGCAACAAAAGAGTGACTTTGATGGTGTGAAATGCCCTATTGTGTGCTGAATCTGTATTAATATCCCAGTCTTCACATAGCGTAAGAAAAGATTCAGACTTCATCCTTTGGTACAAGACAGTTGGATTTTTCAAGGATATTTGCCAGACTCTTTTTCCACGGGATTAAGAGAAGCGCAGCAAAATGAAAAACCCTTACCATTGCTCTCAAGAAGCAACAGATACCAAATACACTGTACTGTTTCACCTTCCTGTCTGACATATCTCTCTGAAATTAACCACATGACTGAATACCAGAAGTTATGTGCAGCAGACAAGTCTTTGCTATTTTTCACCTCTTGTAAATCTCAATAGAAGCCATTTTTATATGTAGCTTACTTTTAGTTACTAAGAATTTGTTTCATTTTCACCACCAAGCTTTCTCCTTGATTTGTAAAGAAAAGGCCTATTGTTGTATATGCTGTACATATTAGGACACTCCCCAAGCCGATAAAAACAAACATACACACATACATATATGCACAGATTTCTCTCAAAAGCTAAAGACACAACTTTTTATTTTAGATATTGTTCACTTTCAGGAAATAAGAATCTAGCACCCATATTTTTGTAAACATGGATGCGTCTTTAAAGTGTCCCAAACGCACTTTATGCGGTATCATACTCTGTGCCAAAGAATACTTTAGTGAAGAGAATAAATGAGTCATATTGCAAAAATAAATGTTTATTAAAATTCACTCTTCCCAAGATTTATTTTTTATTCTGTGTTTCCACTCCTTTCTAGACTGCCACTCATGAGGAAGAGTAAATTTTCATCAAGAAAATGGACTTAGTTTGTCTCAGACATTTTTGGTTACTTCCTGTTTATCACAATTTAACTACTTGATTGTGGGAGCTAGCGTTTGACACATCCAAGTCAATCAAGCACTGACCAAGCTGCAGCTCCAACACACACCAAGAAGTTACATTAGAAAGCCCTCCATGGCCTCTTAAATATATATCCAAAAAAGCCAGACCTCAGGGCAATTCTCTAACCCTCTCTTATCCAAAAGATCTAACCCCTCAACTTGGAAATAGCTAATGACAACCAAATTAGCAAGGCTTGGCAGAGAAAACATGCTTCTTCATAACTGTTGTCATGATCTGTGACAGCTGAGAAGAGTTCTTTAGACACAGAGAAGGAAATAAGCTAAATGAACCTCTGTCCATTTTTCCCATCCCTCCACTTGGTGTGATTCTTAGACATCCTGATATTTATACCTTCTCCTTCCCAAATTCCACTTCCATATAAATCTGGAAAAAAGAGCTATAGTGTACTGCAATTGATAGATGGGTGCAAGAGGCTTGTTTGCCATGCTCCACTAAAATGCTGCTTGTGACGTATACTGACACATTATTAATAAAAAAAAATCCGTTAGGAATAACATCTTCTAACAGTAAAGTTCTCTTAGAAAAGCATAAAAAATGAACAACTACAAAGGTGTGTATTAGCATCACACTGCTAAGAATGGCAATGGATTTGAATTTGTAAGATCGAGGCTCTCCCTCAGACATATTAACAAACGTTTTCTTAGAGATGGCTGATGTGTTTCCTACCAGTTCACTCTCTTCTTCCTCTGTTGCATCCTTCTTGGCTTCTTCTTTCTGGTCTTCAATATTTGCATCAAAATCCTCCATCTCCACCTATTCCAAAACACAAGCACAGACATATGCTGCACTGCTTGACTAATACGCATTATCTTTTTATTAGAGAGTAAACAGAAGATTCCAAGCTCAAATAGAAGAGGAAAATGGAATGAGAGGATTCATTCCGGTAAGTATGACGATGCATTATATATGGACATTGCTTCCACTTTTGCTCCCTTCAGAAGCAGGATCACTTCTTGCTAGAGTGAGAAATTGTGTGGGAGAGCGTTTGTTCTCCTCCTTCACATGCATTCTTTGTGCTACCAGGATCTACAACAGTATTCCCTTGTTTCACACACAAGCATACTTCAAAACTTACACCCAGTAATATTCACCTGTATTCTATGGAATACTTAATACTCTCAATGTATGTACAGCTCTTCATGCCATTAGTAAAACCTCGATGCATATACCAGAATAAACACAAATCTGTATTTTTCTGAGCCTTCTTCAGAGCTGAGCTTTTGGATCTCCTCTTTAAAATTACTAATTTCCAACACCAATGATCTGTAGGTTAGAGATAACCTGCTGACCTCATGACAAACTTGCAAAGAGTCAACTCTTTTCCTGCTTCAGCAGGTCACCAGTTCCTATTGCCACGGCATAGAAAATGTTGATGTTCTGACATTCATATGCAGCTCTAGTATACCCACGATGTACATATGATTAACATACTAGTATATTCTCAGAGCTCCTGAAACACCTGCCAAAAGACAAGGTAACGATATAGAAAGGTAACATATCAAAGACTTACAGAAAACTCCAAATGAAATAAAAGGTAGCGTATTTCTACATCAAGTGTAATCTTCAGTTACAAGCTATTTATCTATTTCTTCATTCTCTGCAGCAGGTCTGGATTTCTCAAAGCAGGGACCCAGAAGAGTTAATGCTTTTCAAAAATTTTTAACCAACTATTTTCCAGCTATGATTCAGTTAACCCAGTAACCTGAAAACGTGCCAAGTCTCCTCTGAGAAAGCCAACATAGTGTTTTATTGTTTTATGGAGATCAGGAGAGGTGCCTGAGGACTGGAAGAAAGCCAATGTCACGCCAGTCTTCCAAAAGGGCAAGAAGGAGGAGCCAGGAAACTACAGGCCTGTCAGCCTCACCTCCATCCCTGGAAAGGTGATGGAAGAGCTCATCCTCGAGGTCATCACTAAGCATCTGGAGGACAAGAAGGTGATCAGGAGTAGTCAGCATGGATTCACCAAAGGGAAATCATGCTTGACCAATCTGATAGCCTTCCAGGATGGAAGGACTGGCTGGGGAGATGAGGGCAGAGCAGTGGATGTTGTCTCCCTGGACTTCAGCAAGGCTTTGGACACTGTCTCCCATCACATCCTCCTAGGTAAGCTCAGGAAGTGTGGGCTAGATGAGTGGACAGTGAGGTGGACTGAGAACTGGCTGGATGGCCGAGCTCCGAGGGGTGTGGTCAGTGGTGCAGAGTCTAGCTGGAGACCTGTAGCTAGCGGTGTCCCCAGAGGTCAGTACTGGGTCCAGTATTGTTTGACTTATTCATCAGTGACCTGGAGGAAGGGACAGAGTGCGCCTTCAGTAAGTCTGCTGATGATACACAACTGGGAGGAGTGGCTGGCACACCAGAAGGCTGTGCTGCCATTCAGAGGGACCTGGACAGGCTGGAGAGCTGGGCGGAGAGGAACCTCCTGAAGTTCAACAAAGGCAAGTGCATGGTCCTGCACCTAGGGAGGAATAACCCCAGGCACCAGTACAGGTTGGGGGTGGACCCGCTGGAAAGCAGCTCTGTGGAAAAGGACCTGGCAGTGTCTGGGAGCTGGTGGACAAGTTAAGCATGAGCCAGCAGTGTGCCCTTGTGGCCAAGAAGGCCAATGGTCTCTTGGGGTGCATTAGGCAGTGTTGCCAGCAGGTCGAGGGAGGTGATCCTCCCCCTCTACTCAGCCCTGGTGAGGCCTCATTTGGAGTACTGTGCCCAGCTCTGGGCTCCCCAGTACGAAGGAAACATGGAGCTATTGGAGTGAGTCCAGCAGACGGCTAAGATGATTAAGAGTTTGAAGCATCTCTCATATGAGGAAAGGCTGAGGGAGCTGGGACTGTTCAGCCTGGAAAAGAGAAGACTGAGGGGGGATCTGACCAACGTGTATAATTATCTGAAGGGAGGGCGTCAAGAGGCCAGACTTTTCTCCGTGGTGCCCAGCAACAGGATGAGAGGCAATGGGCACAAACTGAACCACAGGAAGATCCATCTGAACCTGAGGAAAAACTTCTTCACTGTGAGGGTGACAGAGCATTGGAACAGGTTGCCCAGAGAGGTTATGGAGTCTCTTCGCTGCAGATACTCAAAACCCGTCTGGATGTGATCCTGGGAAATATGCTCTAGAGGACCCTGCTTGAGCAGGGAGGTTGGACTAGATGATCTCCAGAGGTCCCTTCCAACCTCAACCATTCTGTGATTCTGTGACACTCAACAGTTGCCAAATAAGACAGAGGCTTCAACTCTTCCTCAAAGAGGCATAAGCATGGGCTCCAAAAAAAGCAATTAAAAAAAAAAAACACATGTGCCTTTGTGTTTAGGTAATTGATAAGAATAATGGAATACACTTGTTTGATATAACAATTCTGCCTTTCTATAGTGCCAAATATATGACTATCCTTTATAAACATACGGTCCTCTGCTTTATATTTTCAGTATAATCATAACTACACAGTCTGTCATCTTAACAAGCACAGAGATTCTTACCTCTTCAATAGCAGCATCTTGTAAGAGAGAACGAATGTCCAGGCGCATCATGTGACGTGGTGCTGCCTCCCAGTGATCAGACATCTAACAAAAAACATAAAAATAAAGTACCTCCAAAAACATAACAGGTTTAATGGAATATTGGGTTTCTGATCACAAATGAGATGCAACTGTACTTGAGAAAAGTCATTTCAATCAATCCCATGAAATCGCTATTAGCTCTTCTTAAAAGAAATGTATAGGCATCATGTAGTCTGAAAGAGGATGAGAGCTTTCCTGCAACAGCAGTCCTGAAAGCATAAGGAAGCCTATCATTAAGCCTATGACTCCACAGATGTAAACGGTTACCCTGTTGATTTCCTTTAGCTTGCGTCCATGAATATTCCTCTTGGAACAGGTCTGGTTGTCTGCACTCATTTCAGCTAAGTACACCTAGAAAGAGAAACACAATATTAAATACCTTAAATCTATTTTAGAGACATTTTTCTATCTGGTGATATACTCCGCAGTTGCACATTCTGCAACTGGTAAATTTGTAACTGCAAGACAACAGTATTTTTCCTGAACGCGGGAAGGACTTCGCATTCAAAAGTTTAGGAACGCCATCATATGGCCAGCTAGCAAATTCAAATGCCTTTTTGGCTCCATTACCTCAAAACCCTTGGTTTTTGCTGCACTCCAAAACTGCTCAAAATGTCGCACTCTATCATTGATAGCATCAAGGATAATGAAGGGGAAAAAGCCATCATCCAAGGTCTTTTTGAAAGTTTTAAACATGCTGGTACGGTAGGTCTCTTCCATGTCAGCTTCATACTCGTATTCCATCACCTGAATCAAGGACAAAGTCATTTAAGAAAGAGGATATCTATTAAATTGCTAATATTCAACTACTGAATGTCACGAGCACAAAGTACATCGGTATGAGAAAAAAAACCATCTTCCAAGTGATTTTTTTTTAAGGACTTGCCCCGTCTGCCCTTAAATTATTTTAACTCGTTCTGAAAATGATCTCTGCATGCTTTCAAAGCAATAGACTGAAATTTTTATCACCATTGTGCTGTTCCAGAACATCTTGCCCATTTCTCAAGGTAAACAACCCGAACTAAAAGTACCTTCTTCTTCACTTTTTTCCCTGTATCTGGGTCTCTCTCTTCTTTTTCTACTTCAGTGATGAAGTAGTCATCCAGGCTGAGCACTCTTGGTGCAGGTCCTCCACACTCTACTTCCTTATCCTAGGAGGAATATAAAACAAAAAACCCCATATACTCTTGGATACCTGTAAAAATTCTATTCTGCTATAGAGGATCCCCAAAATGCCTTTGGCACACAGCAGTTCCCTGCTCTATATTCGAAACAAGAGAGCAGCTTTCCTCCTCCTTGCTACTAGCGAAGGAGATTCACATGCCACATGGAGATACAGAACATCAAATAACGACCGGCTGAAATTCCAAGTCTTGATCTTGTTTCTTCCAAAAGCCTGACTTAATTTCTTCCTTTGCATACGGGACAAACAGAAAGGAAACAGCAGAGGAAGTAAGCACAAAAGACAAGCCACACTACACAGTGAGCAGCTCTTTACCTACCCGGATGAGTTTTGCTACATGTGTCTTTCCACTGCCAGGCAAGCCTCTCATTATGATTACGATCTGAAACAAAGATCGTGTAAGAGAAAGTAAGTGTCTGTACCGCATTCAAAAGAATCTCTTATGCAAAAAAATTCTTCTAGGAAATCACGTGCTCCGGGCTCACAATTTGGCATATCAAACAAAGCCAGCTCCATGCCTCACCGCCTGTTTTACGAACCAGGTTGTGATGAATAGCAGTAGTTCCACAAAAGTAATGAGCACACAGGATGTTAATCATCTCAGCAATTAACACTGCATAAGATGTTACAGAACTGGTTGAGATAAAATTAACCGTATGAATTTTGTCTAAATATTTCACAGCCTGAATCTTGTTCTTTCTGCTTTTCCTAGGGTGATTGCAAATTCTGACTCTCTCTAAAGCCAAGTCTTTCCCCTGATACATCAAAAACCTAAAGTGAATTTCTCAGAAACACCTAAAATACATAAACATTACCAACTAATAGGAATTTCATCGTATCATTCTTAGGAGGTTTACAACTCCTCAGGACTCCTTATAGCTATGCTACAATACTCTAGGCATTTGCAAACGAATAAACAGAATTTCCAGTGCTTCCCCAAATGTAGGCTTTTTCCCAATATATCGTACGCATGAGAATTTTATCTAATGCAGACCTCGTAGAAACCGATTGTTGCGTTCAGAAGGCATACTCACTCTCTCTGGTCTGCTATCTCGTCCTGGCGGCTTCAAAATATCATCTACGTTTTTAGATTCTGGCTTTCTTTCCACTCGTGGAGCAGGTGGTGGCTGACGGGGCATTGATGGAGCAGAAATAGGAATCCTTTCCTCAGGGTAATTTCTACGCTCACCTTTAAATTTCAGTGATTGGACAAAAGAATTTTCTTAGTTCAGTAAAACTAGAAATTTAAGACACTCATCCTCAGTCAAGCTGTTTTTAACAAACCCTCAACATTTTAGGAGAGATTCATGGAAGTCTCCCCAAAACAACTCAAAGTTCTAACTGGAACAACGGCAATCAAATATATTGTTTTAGCAGAATATCTAATTGTTTCTTTCCTGATCCCATTATCACTGAGAAACAGAAAACTACATGACACTGCCCAAATAAATTTTCCTAAATTCTATGCTCTTAACAGAAATACTGCAACTGAATCAATCTCCTCCTAACTCCACCTCTGTCCAGCCACATTTTTCATAATAAAACTTCTGGACTGAGAAATCATACCTCCAAACATGGAAGGCCCATGATCATATGTTGGACGATCTGTCTTTCGTTCATATGGTGGTCTTTCAAAACCGCCTCGCCTGGAGGAGGGATGGTCTTTCTTGTCACGGTAAGACTGAGTCCTTGTAGGTGTAGTAGGAAGAACCCTGCCAAAAGAGCATTTTGTGTACTTCTAGGATTCTGCTATGGTTTCCAGAGAGAAATAAACACGTGGCTCACAGTCAAAACTGACAGCCTGATACCCAGGATAGCTTGAATCAGATGGATTTCAACAGTGTTCCAAAACTACGTACCTATCATCTCGGGGATGGCGCTCTTTTTCAAATCTCTCTCGTTCATAGTCCACAGAACCACGGTCTCTGTGCAATTCCCGCTCTCTCTTGAAATCCCGGTGATCTGTGTTTGAATTACCTTGACGCTCAAAATATGGCTCACGATCCCTTTCTCTGTTGTAACGATCGCGCTGGCTGGGGTGCTCTGGAAGGAGAAACCCAAGGAAATCAAAACTACTAAAATATACCCTTAACTTTTGTTATTTTTCCTTCAAAGATAATAAAACAAGAGTGCAGGAAAAATACGTAGAAATAGATGACTTTGGGCTAGAATTAATTTACTCGGCCACGGAATCTCTTACCAAGCTGCAACAGACAACCACATCATGTGCACCAAGCTGCAACAGACAACCACATCTTACTTCAAGCTATCAAACTGCATTTTAAAAATGGGTAGGTCATTGGTCACAGTACTCCTCTTGACAATACAAACTGTTATATTTTGGGCCTCTGAAGAAACGAAAGTGGTTCTGGCCTAAACAGAGGTTACTTAGTTTAAAATATGCTTTTAATGCCTGACAACTTCTCTTAAGAGCTAACTAGCTGCTTGAGAGCTAGCCAAGCACTCCCTACCTTTTTGAAATGTTTGCCTCTCTGGTAGAGGTTCTGGACGCAGAGTTACTCTCTCCCCATATGGAATCTGTTCCACTTTACTGGTGGTTATATCTGGTTAAAAATCATCAGAAAAACAATTAAAGACAGTCTTAAATTAACCCTTTTCCACCTCCTTTTCTCTGCCAGGAAAAGCAATCACTCAATGGCTTTAAAAGTAATTGAAATACTTACCAAAAACATATCATACTGAATAACGCAAAAAGGGCCACACATAAAATGCAAACACATAAAATGCCATACATAAACACAGAACACTATGGTTTCAGTAGTCTGAAGTGGGTTTGTGTGTGCCTAAGTGTGCATACCATTTCATCCCAAAGAGCAAAGTTTCATTCTTAAGAGTTCGGGTAGCATGCACAGGTAGAAGATTATAAATACTAAAATGCTATGAAAGTTTGAATAACTCACAGAATTAACATTGAGAATATTAACTGAAACGCTCCCCTTAGGTTCCTAATAGTCACAATTTTTCTAACTTTTTTTAGTAAAATATCTACTTAATGGCATTGATATGGCTTTAATTCACGTTACGGCACCTTACAGAGATAACAAAGCTCTCTAAAGAGCAATGCACAATTTAAGAACTTCTTTATAACATGATTTAACTCTTGTTAAATACTGTAAGAATGAAGGAAATTGATTCTATTAAAAGGTAACGTTAAATTTTAGCCTTGATAATCTTGATGAGTGTTAAATGCCTGCTTAGACTACATGCTCTTCAGAACTGGGACTTTGTCTTCCTCCCTTTTTGGAGGGTATCTCATAGACATTAGGCAGCATATAAATAAAAACAGTATTCACAATCTGTTTTATTTCACTCTGTCGTTCCTAAGAACCGTAACAATCCAAAGTACTTTTTAACATAGGTATTTTCAGCTATCAAGGGAATAAGATAAAGTATCTATACCAATCTAAACATAATGTGCTGATGTGATCACCTCAGTTGGTGTTTATTAGAAGCAGATGTGGCTGTATACCATTCAGTTCACATGCAATAGCTCATTTTCACTGCTTTGAAGAGAACGTTAAACTCAAGGCTGCAGGCTACTTAGAGTGGGGAAATTAAACATAGAGAGAGCTTTTTGACTCCCTAAAAACAAGTTGCTTGGCATTAGATCACGACGTACACAACCCCACAGGTTAACAGTATAATATATACGGCATGCTTTGGGTGGCGTGCTACTTTTAGAAGCAGTGAACATATCTACGTTGCTCCCGCTACAAATCAATGAATACATTCTACTACTCACCCCGCCCATGGCCATAATCCACTGTTTGCTGAATTATAGGTGCTTTAGGAACTGATGGAATAACTGGAGGAAGTGATACTGGTACACCTGATGCAGCAGAGGTGTGAACAGCAGGTACTTTCACAGGAGAGGATACTGGTGGAGGCAGCAGTGATTCTTGGTTACATAATTCATACTCCATGTTTGTTCCTTTATCCTCATTTGTGTCCCAGAGTCCATGGAAGGAATCCTCATCCCAGCGTTCCTGTTCCACAGCAGAAGGTGATGGTTTTAAAGACTGACCATGACTTGGGGTTGTAGTTGGAGTAGAAACTGGAGTATGTGGCCTTGTCATAGGTGTAGTTGGCCTTGTCAGTGGGGCAGTTGGTCTTGTCACAGGGGTGGGCTGTCTGAACAACACGGGAGGCTTTATAATAACAGCAGGAGAAGGTTTAATAGCTTGGGCTTCTACTGGTGTCTCTGAAGATAGCTGAGAAGAAACCTAGATGCAGAAAGCACTTTAAATATAGATTTGTAAACTAACCTTCTCTCATCCTCTGTAAGTAAGCTCAGTGCCAACCTGTAACCATATCATTAGCTTTTTCTAGTACCTCCATCAAGGTACTACAATTAGGAGGACATATTCCAAGAACTGGCAGCCTGAATCAAGTGGTGTTTGTTCACTATATGAAGGCTTAAATACTATCTATTTTCTCCTTCAGAATAACCTTATCAGCTTAAGCTCTAAAGACCTGTCTCAGTTCAAAAGTGTCTACTATTTCATTTCCAAAGACTCCTGCTGCCTGTGAGGAGGCTGAAAAAGTCAGAAAGCAGAGCAGCTTGGTGAGGCACAAAAGGACTGGATAGGGCCAGCTTCTTTCTCCTGCATATTAGCAGCATCCAACAAAACTTGGAGAATGCCTGTAGACATAAGATTAACCTCGTAATAACAGTTTGTCAAAGTCATGGCAGAAATGTGAAGGCAGGAAACCCAAGAAAGATAACAGAGAGATATTTGAATACACCTAGGCGGATAGATGATATAGTCTGAGATATAAAACACCAAAGCTGAGGCACAAAAACACTTCTTAAAGAAAGATGCAGTTCTTGGTAGCAAACCTATTCCCTTATTTTACTTTATAGATGCTGTAAACAAGGAAGAGGTCAACTAGGCAAAACCAAGATTCATACTGCTTCATTCACTGCATACCCCTTTTCTGGAGGGAAGGGCAAACACAGCTTGGTCCAGCTAAATATCAGCCTCAGAGGTCTGTAAAGCTAAATTTATCAGTAGCAGTATGCTGGGGTTAAGATGTGATGAAGAATATCAAAGACCGTGCACCAATTCAGGTGTCTCCTCCAACACACATTTAACAAAATTGTTTATTCATTTGAGGAGGAATTTATAAATGTGAGTAAATATGATAGCACAAGTTCTGTTGGCAACACAAGTTCTGGCCAGGTATGAATTATCAGAAACCAAATATAAGGAGGTGAGAAGAGACCCTAGAGCCAACTATGAGATTAGGCAGTAGAGGAATGCCTTGCTTCACACAACAGATGAAATCATGGAGGTACACAAACATGAGCCTCCATGCACTTCATGATATTCCAGAGGGCAACCAGAATTCCCAATAAAGACAGCAAACAAGCAAAGGCTAATGCACTCTCAGTGGAAATATGTGAGTTGCTAATGGAACTGTGAAGACCTCAACTTTCTCATTTAAGCCTTTCTAAGAAGAGGAGACCTTTTAGATTGATTTAAGGAAGAAAAGCAGAGCAACCTGGGATTCAAGTAGAGTATCAGAATCTAGTTAGTTGGGGAATGGAAGCATCTTCTTACTAGCCGTATGTCCCTATTTTGGAAGTGCTCACCTCTTCTTGCACATCATCCTACAGCAGTAATCTAGGCTGCTGAGCCTCACCAGCCACCGTCACTAGAGGGTCACGCTCATAGGAGATGGTAGACTGAACCAACAACAAAAGGCTGTGGAAAATCTAAAGAAACTGTAAAGTTACTTGAGTCCTCAACAAAAGATCGATGAGGTTACAAGTGCTGCTGAAGAGTTATTCCACAGAGAATTTTGACCATCAGAAATCCTGCTTTCATGACAAGTACAGGAAGTATCTCTTGGAAATCCCGAAAGAATTTGTGGAGGAGAGGGGCAACATGATTTCTGACACTTGTCTTTCACCACGAGTGAGCAGGCTAGGTCCAGGGATATGTTGCCGCTCTAAGGCCAGCATACAGCTGGTCTGATGAGATATTTTAGTACTCACTCCATACAGAGGTGCCTCAGAGAACATGCAAGGAGTTGGAACTTCTTTCCTCTAGCAATGGAAGTTTCTCCCAGAGACCAGCCGCTATTTTCTCTTTCTAAAGTGCAGTTCTTCAAGATAGCCCAGGGCTGAGGGGTACAACTAGGCAGGTCATCTGCAAACTGATTATTTCTGAAATCAAACTTACAGACTTCACCAAGAGTCGTTTCCAGAAGTGATGTAGCTGTCCTCTCTTACATATGGTTCATTTAACACATACAGAACACCTGCCTAGAGGATGCTCTACACCCGAGCAATGAAAACGGCAACAACGTTTTCTGGATTAGAAAACTAGCCACTCTCACAACATGGGGTTTGAAGCAGACCAGGGAGAATAAAGCCACAGAGCAACAACCTGAAGAACAAGCCACAGTGTTCAGTACAGAAAGGTCATCCACGAGCTAAAGCCTAGAATAACAGGAGGACGTCCTTAAGGGATGAAAACGCTCAACAGTGAGGCAACCAAGAAATCTGACATAGTTCAAGTCAAATGGTAAGAACAGGGCACAGGCATTTTATTTTTTTATATCTGTGGGGAATAAGAGGAAGCTATAAATGCTTCTATAGGTATAGCTGAAGCAAAAAGCCACAAGATTTTTGAGGCTTTCACCAGTGAATCCACGGTATGAAGAAACACGCTGATAAGTCTTGGAAGAAGAAAAATGACTTTCTCTGCCTTTCATGCGGTGTAGGCTGTAGGTTGTTCAGATAGAGAAAAATAGAAATGTTTTGATAGTCTGGAATAAAATACCTCAGAGGATTTTACCTCCAAGGATGCAATCCAACCAATGGCATCTATTTTTCTCCTACTTTGAAGGAACTGACTGGATTAGGCAATGCTAATAAAGCAATACAGACATGAGAAGCAACATCATGTTATGCACATAAGGCACTCACGATTAACTTCTACTTCAGTTAACTCCAAGTACAAAAATTATTTTCTGTATGTTTGTGGTTTATCAAAGTACGCTTTTCTGAGATTTGACTAAGTTCTAAGTAGGATTTTTACTGGTTCCTAGTCAGTTTGCTTAGTTTCATTCTTTGGACCTGGAAAATATCACAGAGTGCAGAACCGATTTGAGATAACGCATTAACAATAATACTACCAACATGTTACTAATTTAACAAAAGATTAATTTACCTGAAAAGCACTTGGCCTCGTTCCTGAGTTCTGTGATCGAGAAGAGTCCTGCGTTGAAATGTCAGGGTCAAACTCTTTCAACTTCTGCAGCTGTTCTTTTTGCTCTCTGAACATGAACAACAAGGAAGTGTTATCAGTGTGCAGCTTAAATGAAAACTCGAAAGATTAAAGAAATCAATATTCACAGTGAAAACAACATATTACAGTAGTGTTAAGGGCCAGGTCCAAGGAAGAAAAGGACATAGACATGCTCTATACGGTCAATACTATGATTCAGAAAGCACTGTTTTGCACCCACCTAACCATGGAGGTATTTCATATACTAGCTGTCTCCTTTTTCAATCATAAAGTTTATTTGCGACATACAACTCTCCTTCCGTGCTTGGCCAGAGTCACTCCACTTTGACAGTAAAGAGCAAAACTGGATTGGATTTCTAGCTTCTGCCAAACCCCCCTACAATCCAGAAGCCCAATGGAGATGCGTGCCTAAGTGCTCGCAGTGACATGATCCGGGTTACATGCTGACAGTATTGAGGCCAACATAAAGCACAACACAGATTTTGACATTTAAAAACAAAGCACTGACGTTAGCTTTTGTTTGGTTGTTTTGTACATCAAAATACTATTTAATATACAACCCATACGTAAGTCTATGGAGCAGAGAGCAGCAGTGAATACCAAAATCATCAGATTTCAAAGTTCTGTTCAGTGCGACTTCCCTTCCTTTCAGTTCTTCGTTAGCACCTTTGTATCTGTTTCTTATTGCTGCTATCTCTCTGTTCATATTAATTGTGCATATTGAAGTAGCGCCTAAAGAAAACTAAGAATGGGACAAAACAAAGACCATCCTGACTAGCAATGCGTCTGCCCAGCGCTTAACAAAATGGGAACTCGGCTCACAGATAGGAATCCCAAGTGCCCCATTAGTACAAAGAGTAAACAATGCAGCTGTGAGCATTCTTCTATATAGTCTACTTTACATCTGGCTTCGGAAAAGTACACCAGATGACAAATCCACAACACCATGTAGCTTGAGAGTTTGTTGCCTTACATACAATAAAAGCAAAGTCAGATGAAGGCTTTATATTTTGAGGTGAAAGTAGTTACGCGCTGGATTACTGGTATAACTCTTGGCTCAAAAAAACTGTAAGCAGTCTCCTTATTTTAAAGTTGTTCTACTGTTCAGACTGGGGTCAGCCACTTAAAAGAACCTGGTAAGTAGCGTCAGTTTAACCAGTTTTAAGAGACTGCTCTCCTCACATCAAGTTTAAAATTAGAAAAAAATTATTCAGTAATAGCACGTGTATATTTCCCCTTTTCACATGACTGAGGAAGAGGTTTATATATCTACTTTCATATATAAAATATCTCGGTTTCTATGTTTAAATATTTCAGCCCTTAATAAATTATTCATTAAGGCAGTGATTCTCAAACTATAGTCCACTTGTTTGTTGTGTTGGCTTGCAGTCAAACACATTAAACAGCAAAATATACACCTGGTAACCTGAGGACTCACAAGCAAGTCAGGAAGCTGAAAACGATCTGTTGCTCCAAAGCACTGGGCAAATACTGCTTCATAACACAAGTTTCCCTGTTACTAACCCCTGCTGAATTAACCTAATTACAGTGAAAGACTAAATTCTTTAGAATAACAGTTCTCCCTTCCCCTTTTAAAATTACTTTTCTTGCGCTTCTTCGTGCAACTGAGGCCTTCCATATGGAACAGATGCTTAGTTTCCTTACTCATCCGATAACAAAACAGTTTCAAGAAGAGTGGAAAATACCTCTGCACCTTTCAATATGGTTTAATGTAAATGTAGTAACAACTGCAAACATTCACTGTAATTAACCATTATTTTAGCATGAACACCTTGCTTGTGAAACCTTAGCTCTCTCTCAATAACTCATGAATAGGTTGTGCCATATGAACCTCTGTCTCTGCAGCGCTTCCTCTCTTCTTAAACAGTCTCCCTTGAAGTATCTCATTTACTGAAAATAGTGCAAGAAATTTATTTTTTTCATTTTTTTTAAGAATATATTTAATGCACCTATACCCAAGCATCAAATCACAAAGAAAGTACCTGGTCAGAAAGTATGTACTCTCTTCCCTCTCATGTTACTCAATTTACTGAGCCATAGGACACTGCTGACGTTTCTTTGAAAATAAATAATAGAATATCCCCTTAAACATCTCCTGAAGCTTTAGGAAGTCTAGTAAGCTGCTTTTTAACATGAGGAACTGGTGAACTCTTGCATTCTAAGTTTCCCTTGCATTCATATCCTCCTGGCTGTCTATCATCACTATTATGATTGATCAAACTGGATGAAATTATTCACTCAGGATGTTCAAATGAGAGGCACTGTAAAAAAACAACCTACCAACCAAACAAGGAAAGCTGGTTTAATTAAAGAGTAAGCAACATACAAAAATCAAATAGGTCCCATTTTGTGAACGAACCAGCTTACTGTGGATCTTAACATGTAAGCATTAACAAGCTCTTCTGAGGATAATGAAAAGACTAGTCAGGTGATGCAGAGAGATCTACTCTTGAGAAGTAACAAATGTGAACTGGCCTAACTTTGCTAAGTTAAGGAAAAAGGTCCATCCACAAAAGCATTGATGGAGATACTTCAAATAACTAGTTCCACATGAGCTCCTATTATGATGCTGTGGTAAAAAAAAAAAAAAAAAAAAAAAAGGCATGAGTGGGTAAACCAAGGAATGGATTAGGAAAGGTGTATCATCTCCACAGAAGCACCACACTGCTCTCACAGCTCTACTTTAAATATTTCATGGGACAGTTACAAGGCAGGGAAGAAATACACTTCAGGAGCATGAGCATCAGAAGCACCAGGCAACAGGCTCTCATGGCATCTAGCTTGCAATTCCCATTACTGGAAAAATGTCCAAAATGGCGGTTTCAAAGCTTGCTAAGGTCATGAATTTTACAAGAGTAAATCAGCACAATTTTTCTTTCCAATAAAACAGTGAATATTATTTTCAGGCTCGGAAAAATATCTGAGTAGGTGAGACACAACGAATTCCAGGACCAACAAACATTTGTGGCAAAAGGTGTCTGAGTCTAAGTGCCTGGATCCATATCAGTTATTTGTTCTACTAATAGGCAACGTGTGCTTCCCTGTAGGGACCCAGTGTCATGTCAAACGCCAAAATCTTCACATAAGCTTTTGATATAAAATCAGAATAATTTTTAACAACTGGTAATTTTTAACAACATTGGTAATTCTTGTATGTGAAACATAATAAAAAAAGAGAATACCTATAAATGTATACTATCTTCTCTGAGAAAGGCATGAAGAGAACAGAGTCAACAATCAAAAAAAAAAAAGTCTGAATCTCAAATGCAGCCCATTCCTGATAAGATTTGAAAAACTTCATTTGCATCCAAAATGCCTGTGGTGCTGCTTAAAGCTACAATATGATTGACTTGTCAGCTTAACAGCTGAAACTATGGGGAGGATTCACAATCCCAAGGAAAGCTTGGGACACCAAAGTTTACCTACTCTTAGCCAAACAGAATATTTAATTTGCATTGGAAGGAAAGAGAAAGATAGGTCAGAAATGCAAGAGTCAACTCATTACAACATAGTAATGCATCATAACAAACATTTATCACAAAGATGTCCAGAAGAAAATTACTGTTCCCCACCCAATACCGTACAACCAAAGTATACCAGCTCAGAATTCCAAAATAAATGTAGTAATTATCAAAATAGATAAAGAAAATAAAATAAACCTACTTAGCAACTTTTATTCCCCCAAAAGTGACAGAATTAGGCAACTCACCGAAGCATTTTGAGCTCCTGGGCAGCCTTCAAAATTATCTCATGCTGTCTTTGGCTAAGGACCATCACTCCCCCCAGTGACTGTTCAGAGTCCAGGTTTGAATCTGCTCCCAGCATATCAGAGGAATGCGAAGGTGGAGGAAGGGACGACTCTAGATCATCCAAAGGTTGTAGCCTGTCTGCATCATCTGGATACCATCTATCGGACAATCGTTCCCTCTCCCAGTCAGTCCTTTCGGGAAGGTAGTCTTGCTTCTCCCGCCACGTGTCATATCTCTCTGGATACTCTCGAATCCTTAGCTCCCCCCTATCTCGGAGGTCTCTGTCATAATGATCCCTGTCCCTATCCTCCCTCCACCTATCTTCACGGTATCTGTCCAGAGGTGGAAGAGGTGGCAAAGGTGGCAAAGGAGGGATATCCAGGTCACGGTTCCCCATTTCTCTGTCATCCATAGGTCTCATGTCCCAGTCTCTATCCCATTCTCTGTCTAAATCTTGATCATAAATATCTGAGGATCTTCCAGTCCTGTCCAGATCTCTATCTAGTTCCCGTTCCCTTGGCCTTTCCCAGTCATCCCACCATGAATCTCGTCTGTCATGATCAGACGATAAAGGAGGTAGTGGTGGTAGAGGAGATAATGGTGGCAATGAATGGTGGGATGGTAACCTGTCGTCTCTGTCATAGGGATCTACAGAATCATCATGATAATCAGAGTCGTGCTCTCTCCAGTATCGTTCTCTTTCCCAATCATCTAATTGTTCATGCTCCAAAGGAGGGGCGTCTCGGCTGTCTAAAGGAAATTCCTCCTGCATTCTCTCATCTTCATGGCTCCAAGGACCCCTGAGTGTCTCATCTCGATGGTATGGAGGCAATTTGTCTGAATCGTCTCCTAGGTGAACCTGTTTATCTAAATTGCCCATTTCAGACCTACCTGCTTCCCTCTCCTGGCATCTAATTGTTCATGCTCCAAAGGAGGGGCGTCTCGGCTGTCTAAAGGAAATTCCTCCTGCATTCTCTCATCTTCATGGCTCCAAGGACCCCTGAGTGTCTCATCTCGATGGTATGGAGGCAATTTGTCTGAATCGTCTCCTAGGTGAACCTGTTTATCTAAATTGCCCATTTCAGACCTACCTGCTTCCCTCTCCTGGCTACCCGCCCGCCTAACCAGTCCCCTCTCTCGGCTGCCTGACTGTCCATCTGGTATCCTCTCCCTGCTTCCTGACCTCCTATCTGGCATCCTCTCCCTGCTGCCTGCTCTTCTGAACATCCCCCTGCCACGGATGGATGCCTGTCTAGCCTGTCCTCTGCCTCTGTATATATATCCTCTGCCACGGCCATCGTCCATTCTGCCCATTCCCCTGCCACGGCCATCATCCATCCTGCCCATTCCCCAGCCGCCATCCATCCTTCCCATTCCCCGGCCGCCGTCCATCCTGCCCATCCCTCGGCCACCCATCCCCCTGCCACGGCCCATTCCCCAGCCACGGCCATCTCCGTACCCTCTGCCACGGCCATCATCCAGTCTGCTCTGCCCCCTTCCTCTGCCTACTGGTCCTTTGCCTCTATCTTCATGCATAAATGGCCCTTTCCCTCTGCTTTCTGGTCCAGGTAGGCCCTGGTTACTATCTGAAGCAAGCAACTGACTGTCTGTGGAATTCAAATCCTGATTTCCTGTTACAGGTGTTACCGCACCTCCTGTTCTTGTAATACCTGACTGCAAAGCTACAGGATTATTAGAAAGGGATGTTGGTTTCTGGTTCTGAATAGGTGGAGTAGTCCCTGCGGACTCTTCTACTTGCTGGTTAGGATCATGTGAACTCCATGTCCACTTTTTAGGAGGCTCTGAAATGGTTTCTTTGACTTCAGCTTTGGATGGTTCCTGTTCAGTGCTGGTCAGGTCCTCACTGGGCTCAACAGAACCTGCACCTTTTGCATCAGGAGTAGACGGAGTTCTATTCAGAGTCTGCTGATTGCCAACTATGTCTGTGAAAGGCTCTTTGTTTTCTGAGCGTGAGTCTGCTTGTGAATGCTGCTGTCCCAAAGGAGGCCTGGGTCCCCTCCACCGTGGACCACTAGGTCGGGACCCATGTGCATGTGGCATATTGGAGGAAGTATAAAATTGTGATGCTGGTCCTCGTGGGATAGTCCCCCATCTACTTGAAGAATGTCCGTCTGTGTTCTGTCGGTCAAAACGTGACCTGTGCCCTTCTGAGCGCTGGGAGTCAAAACGAGGTCCTCTCTGTCTTGAGCCTTCAAATTTCTCATATCCTCTTCCTCGAGGTCCGTCAAACCTACACATGAAATAGTGGTAATTTCAGTCAAATGAGCACCTAAAATAAAAATGCTCCAAAAGGCAGCTTCATCCTAGAAAATCACTTTTATATCTTAACGTGCCTTAGGATCAAATCCTACTGAACCAGTGCAGAAGCATAGAGACACGGTCTTCAATTCAACACTGCCCAATGAAAAGCAGTTTAACCCCTTGCAGACTACGTAACCCTAAAAAAGAAACTTGGCTTAAATATCTCAGGATTGAAACCTGACTTACAAAGACATTCAATTTTTGTTTTACAAAACTTTTGTTGAACTCAACAACTGCTGTTGAACTTCTGTTCTGATCGTGTTCGACAAGCCTACTTAACTACAATGATGAATATAACATAGAAAATCCATAAATACAGTCCTTTCAGGAAGTAAGTGCTGCAAATGATGATACTGCCCAGATCTATACAAGATAATATACCTAAAACAAATATAATTTTATTGCATCACTTTTTGAATTCCTTCTGAGAGCACCTATAACTATTATGGACTTGAATATGGGAAATAGGTCAGGCGAAACAGCATAAAGAATAATTCATGCAATCATATTTAACAAGGTCTATCTAGTTAAAAATCCATTTTTCAAGCTTTGGTTCAAATATTTATTTACATAATAGGCTAGAAATGAATTTGATTCTTCTATTCCAAATACAGAACTTATGCCTGAAGTCAAACTGCTTGGATTTTTAGGACTCACAATTGAGTCTCACTGGACTCATTACTGCTTAGTTACCAAAAATGGTTGACTTGTTGCAGAATTTTCTGTTTTAGTGAATAATTTACCAACTGAGGAGATCATTTACATAACCTCAAAGAATTTTAATAATTCTAATAAGTCAATGCTGGAACACAAAGTAGAAAGCACATTTTTTTTTTTTTTTTTTTTAAATAACCAAGTTGCCTTTATTTGGGATGAGGGAGAGAAGGTGAGAAGAATAGGAAGAAAAACAAGAAATTACGAAGTACACTGGTATGATGTCTTAAATTTTTTTAAATTATGCTTGCAGGATCAACTTTTGCATGGAAGGAACAGGTAGGAGAAAAGGTTGGATACTATAAGATGTACTTAACCCCTGAAACACAGAAAATGTGTTTAAGCAGATTCTTTAGGGTTTCTCAGGAAACGTTAGTTGCTGAAAAGGGGAGGGGAAGCGCCTACCCGGGACAAAATACAGGAATGCACAAAGATTAGCGTTAATTAAGCAAATTAAGTATGCTCAAAACTAAAGCTATCGCATGCACTTTCTATGAATTTTTGATTGTCCATAGGCTATGGTCACAAAATACAGAGCTCTAAACCGACGCACATAAAAGACACGCACTAGCAAATCATAAATACAGTCTGTTTCAGAACTGCACAGCAGATTTAATTTTGAAATTTGAAACATTGAAAACAGATTTAAATTTGAATAAAACTATCTTCACAAACAGATAAAGACTGCAGCCTTCAAAATCAAGACCATCATGATGTAATACAAACCAAAAAATGGCAAAGAATTCTAACATAAGGCCAGGGCTCGAATCTTTCTTTCTTTCTCCCTCTCCTTGATAATTATTTGAACGCTAAGTAATGCTACACATGTAGAAAATCATTCGTTTGTAATTAAGACAAGCACTAGCTCCCTCTTATCAGAAAGTCAGTTAGAGAAGTGTGCTGAATAGGACAGTCACACAGCTGCAGAACTCTCTCACAGTATAAGAAATTAAAGAAAAAGTACACAGCTCTGAATTTTCCATTTCCGGTCACATCCTTCTGTAACCACAATGTTGAATTACAAGCCAAGAATGATTTGTGTTTGTTTTTAAAATGAAAATAGCACCCAATTTGCTAGTAATTACATACGTTAGTATATATTCAGCTGAATACGTTCCTGAATCTCTTCCTGCATGCCTATGTTAAAGTATCATCATATGCCTACAACAAGGCATATGTTGTAGTAACACTTTACAAACAATCCTTTAACATTTTTTGCTTTAGAGATTCCTAAACTACTCTCCAAGTACCACAGACAAAACACTGGGAGTTTAAATTTAGATAGCTTCTCATACAGGATCATTCTTTCAAAGTGCGAGTTATTATCTTTAAGCTAAAGACAATAAAGACCTATCAAATATATTTATAGCGCCTTTCTTCTTGCCACAAAAAGGATATTATGTCTTTGGGAATGAAAAGGGAGCAGTGTGCCTAACCATTTTACTAGAAAAAACGTGATCTATCCTAGGTAATCCTCACATGGAAGACATCTATCTTTCCTTTAATGAGATAAATATGACCATGGCATACACACCTTTAAAACAAAACCACCATGAAACAAATGCACTTCACACAGCACCAGGAAGATTTGAGAATGAGACAGATGTCTAACTGCTTAATGAAAGGCTTCTAGCCTGAAATGTGTATAAATCAACAAAACAAAAATGCCCTTACCTAGGACCTCTGGGGCCTTCAAAACGTGCTCCTCTGGGAGGATCTGGAAGCAGTCCACCTGATCTCACTGGTTTATCCTGCATGGTAGGTGCATGCGTTGAAGACACTGCAGAAGGGGCTTTCAGTTCCCCAGATCCTTGCTCAGATGAAATAGAGACAGTTTGTTTACTAAGGTGAACTTGAGACTTTCCATGGTCTGAAGAGCCAAAAGATGGACTTACTTGAGAATGATAAGATGAAAATACAGGTGAACTAGAAATTTTTGATGCATAGGTACCAGGGGTGGGAAGCAGAGCTGGCCTTGGCGTCTCAGTAGATTGACTGCCTTGAGAACTGGATCCTGAAGGGACAGAGGAGTTCGACAACTGATGCCCAGAAGAGAGAGGTGGGGGGACCAGCGGAGGTGTAGTTGAAGGTAAAGTTGGAGGCATAATAGGAATGCCACCTTGAGCAGTTTGAGAATATGGAACAAACGGAGGTGGTAGTGAAACATTTGCAGGGTACTGAGTCTTCAAGTTTTGGAGCGAGTTCACTTTCTCCTGCAGATGGGATTGAGTCACCTTCATCTGTTCATCCCATGCTTTCCATTGTTTTTCATACTCCTGAAGCTGGTCTTTATGAGGATAGGTTTGAAGCTGATGCTGCCATTGTTGGTTCATTGATCGTTCCCAATCTTTGTGAAGCTGCTGGAACTGTTTCTGCTGTGCCTCATAATGTCGCAGCTGCATATCCACTGACATTGTCTGCAACAAAAAGGTGAGAATTTGTTCAGTGGAGCCTCTTTCAAGCAGGGAATGTCCTTCATTATGTGTATTAATACAGGTATTAATATCCCACAGGCTTGACCTCATCTGAGATTTTTAGGGGTTATTCTAGCAGACTTTTCTTTAAAACAAGGGAACAGCCCAAGCTACAAAGAAATACTTACCATACAGATTCCCCCAAACCAGAAAAAGCTGACTCAACTATCTAATACCAACTTATGGAACCAATGCAGCAATGAACTTCTAATTAAACACTTAAATATATAACTATTAGCAATCTTTATCTAAGCTTGTTCTTAAGACTTTTTTAATTTTTACTGATCATTTATATCAAAAATAACGTGCGAGTGATTTCCTTAATTATTTTAACTGAAGATTTTTGGTGTCTATGTTTACTTCATCACCATTACATATAATTATTTTTGTACTACATGATGTTGTGAAAAAGGGCACTTTACCCACTAACTCCATGCAGTCATCTGATTACCTGATCTTTTTTCTGAACTATTTGTCCAGCAGTAAAATGTTCAAAGCTGAGCAAATCCAGTATTGCATGCATATTGGGACACTCAGCTTGTCCCTATATCACCCAGGCATATCTGAAAATCTCATGCCAAGCACAGAGTCTTATATTTCTTGTCCTACTGAAGCTTCACCTGGTAGCTCTCAACTTTTTTTTTTGGTTCTGAAGTTGAGTAAGAGTAGGAAAAGGGAATACAGACTGCCCATGCATAAAAAGTAGCTAGACAAATGAGCCAACCCTGACAAATTATACAACTACTTATTTTTTCAGCAGATCATGAGTATTAGCTTATCCAGGAAGCACATTAAATACTGTCCCCTCAGTGGTTCACCTGTAAGTGTGGGGGCTGTTGCATGATCTGTTGATACTGTTGTACTATCTGCTGCAGCTGGGCATGCTTCTGCATTATTCTCTGATACTGAAATCCAACTCGGTGATGGGGATGCTGCTGCCATTGAGCTGCTGCTGCTTGCAACTGCTGCAATCTCAAATCTTCCTCAGGGTCATCAGGAGGTTCAATATTGAGCTAGAAAAAAGGCAAATACTATAGAAAGGAAAAGCCCCTTCTGTCAGAAGAGAAAACACTTGGTCAGTACCCAGTTTGCAGGAACTTTCTGAGCGTTCATTACTCTGTCACTCTGTATTTCAGTGTTCTGGCCACCCAAAACCACTGGAAGGTTGATTTTTGTTTTATTTATTCTTAACATGAACAGGCTGATTTAAAGGTTAGGCTGGTGGGAATTAGGGCTTCCACGCACACAGAAGCTACCTACACGTAAGAGATTACTACAGATCATCTGTTCCGTCATTGCCCACAGCAAACGTACCGAGAAAGCTGTGCTTTTTCAGGACAAGGTAAAGTAGTTCCAAGTGCATCATTTTCGCCACATGGTAGGAAGCTGCACACTGTTAGTTAAAGCGGAGCACATGCTGCAGGGTAAACTATTACCATAGAGTTATCCGTTCCAACATCAGAGTCTATGAGCTCCATCCACTATGTTGAAACTGTCATTAAGCACACTGACAAAAAATATTCTGTGCAAAGTTCTTGACTTTCAGACCAAATTATAACACACAGAAAGAAGGGGAGACAGAACTAAGAAACTGCCAGGGAAGAAGGAAAATGAGTGTCTTAAATACAGCATTCCTTGACTACTGAGTGCTTGATTTTCGCATTTTATAATCCACAATGCATTTCTCGTAGTCAAAGATGACAATGCGGGGGAAAGCGTGAACGAAGCTCAGTGCCTGTGTGGATGATTATATAGATCTACATGCGAGCGGTACATTTTTTTAAATTAGTACAGACTTAAAAATCTTTTTTAAGATTGTTTTATCGTATTTAGTTGTTATTAAAGTGCATACATGAGAATCTGATGGAATCATTTGCCTCCTTTTTGTGTTTTCTCAGCTAGCATAACATATGGAACAGCATCTCTTTACAAAGCCTACCTGAGTTTCAGTGGATGTAAGAGAAGACTCGTCATCTTTGGAAGCTGGAGGCAGGGACTCATTAAGTGGAGGAGGTTCAGACTGCTGAGCTAAAGCGCTCATTTTCCCTTCTTCAGACTTTCTCTGCTCAGATGTATCCTTCACCACCCCCGGACCTTTCATTTGCTGCTGTCCCTGAGCATGGGCTTTTGCCCTCTGCTGCAGGCTAAGCAGGTGCTGCTGATACCAGTATTGCTGCTGCTCCTACAATAAACAGAAATGTTCTCAGACAGACAGCTTTCACAGGAAAAGACACGAAAATCAATTGAAGATAGTCACTAGAACCATGCAGAAGAAACACTCCAGAGAAGGGTTTAAATCTGTTTTGAGGGAGAATTCACTTCATCATCATCAGTATTGCAGTGAATGCCAAAAGATCTAACCAAAATTCAGACGCTACTATGTGAGACACAGTATACACTGGAGAATTTTTTTCCTCTCACAAAGAGCTTGCAACTAATGAAAACAACAACAAAAAGCAGAAAGATGGCTAATAATAAGCCTAACGACTACAGGCATGTGATAGGTACCACAACTACTAATTCTTGTGCTTTTTATTCCTGAACACACCTATATTTATTATGACACTAAATTAGGTGAAATGAAGGGGAAAACGGACGGAAGTAAGTACAAACGAGGGAGCAGTAAAAGGAAGAAATGTGCAAAAACCAGAAAGAGTATGAAAAGAGAATAACACTCATCAAGTAGAGTGAAAATGACAACAGAGAAACTGTGATGGAAAGATTTGGAAAAAAAAAGGTGTGAAAAAAAAAAATCAACAAGCAGAAAACAATGAGAGCTATTTATAATCTGAATTCTGATCAACTCCATTTAAGAGCTGAAAAGGTAAACAGATACAGCTGTGCTCAAAGAATTATCCATTTGAGAAACTGGTCTAATTTTCAGTTTGAAATACTTCAATAAGAGTACTCCAGGCAGATGACAGTAACTTCAAACCATTCTACGTGTGAGCTGCCACCAACAGAAAGAATAAAAGATTAAAGAAGGAAGAGTATCTCAACACTTGTGGAACGGTGCATTGTAAGAGATCTGAGTAGGAACCTATGGTTCACTACAGGCATCAAATGAGACTAACAGGAGAGATTCAAAACAAGCAGGACATGGCTCTTCGGCAACAGAGTCTTCTGCTGTGGAACTCCCTACAACAGAATGCTGCAAGTGCTGAAATTTTGTGCGTTCAAGATGCAGCTGTATAGGCTCACAGAAGAAAAACACACTGACAGATATTAAAAATAAAGATACCAGTTGTGACTATGGCAGTTCCTGAGACAGAAACTGTTAGAGGATATTGGGAAAGTATCACTATACACTTGATTATTAAACTCTTCTCTAGGCATCTGCTTTTACTCACTGACAGAGACAAGATGATTAAATGCTGTACGTTTGGTCTGACCCAGTTTAACCCTTCTTATATTCTCGTGCCAACCCCACTGACTTTGAGATTCTGTGACTGCTCCACATCTTTCATATCCTCTCTGTTTGTTTCCATACAGTCATGCACCGTTAAGAAAAGACCTATAAAAAGTCCATGCAAAAACCAGAAAAGAGTCCAAGAGAAGAGGATATTTGAAAACGCAAGTGCGATAATTACACTGTTAGATGTTGTCTGATGAGATTCCTCAAAACTTCAGTTTCAGCCCATTTGATTTATCTTAAAACAGGTTTAAAAGTATATGAAGTTTAAGTTTCCTCCAAAAGCTTACCTCATACTCAGAATGGGAGGAATAGTTTCTAGTGGAAACAGTCTAGCAGACATAATTTAACGTGCACCTGTATTTTTTTAAAAATACTTCTGCAAAACTGTAGCTTAGAGATGAAGTCAATGAAAGGAAAGGCTATACTCCTTAACTTAATGTTGATCCCTCAGTAACTTCTGCCAAGAGTCTTTGTGACACGAATATGACTTAGAAAAGCTCTCACGGCTTTGGGTAGCAGATGCACATTCACACTTCAGCACAGAGCCTCTCAGAAACCTCCAACAACATGCTCTAATAAATATTACTACCATGTCCAACACTAAGGAGGAGCTTACATCCCCGGCTCTACAAAAGCGGATTCAATGATCCCTTTCAAAAGGCATTAATTAACATGACAGTGCTGGATGTTAGCTTCTAGATGAATGACTGAGAAGCACCTGCTTTACTGCCATTAAATTCCCATCATCCACAGATCCCTTTTGTTTCCTCCTCATTCTAACAAATGGATAAAGGGCTAAAAATCATGTGACCAGTGGCTCACACAAAAACCTTTACACTGATAATATCCTGTCGCGTATTTTTCAAGGCAGATGAAGTCAGTAATACATATACGGCAATTTTAACTGCAAAGTGTGAGAAATGTAATAAAAGTAGATTTCTACAGCTTAGTCTGAACAAAACAGAAGCGTTAGTGTAGGAGGCAGACTCCTGATGGTGAAAAGTTCAGTTATCTGAGGCCTTCTGGTCTCCTCAAGATGATTGTCACTCTGAATCCAAAGGATCACAGTCCTTAAACCTAAGGAACCATTAACATATGCCTTCTTCCCTCATCGGTTGACCAAGAGACTATGCCTGCCATATTATATAGAAAACACTGAACCCAGCCCTATCAGCTCCTGACCACAGTATATACCACCAAAAACACAACTCTGAAACACACAAATCAGATCCATTGGAGAATTTCAGTATAGAGGGTTCTGTGCACATTACAGTGGCTAAAAGCTCATGCAAGATGAGACAAAGACTCAAATTACAATAACATGTAATTGCCTCTACTGCCTCTCCATTCAGTTCTGTAAGCCTTTATATGTTCCAGTTCTCAGTACTGGCCGCTCGGCCAGCACAGAACACTGCTGGCTTAGGTGGCCTAAGGTCACCTAAATTCATTTTGACCTAGTTTTTTGGCACCAACGCTGGTGACCTTTAGGCCATAAAACAAGGCCTATTTTGGGGGATGACAAGTCCTTCCGCAGTGAAGACTGTAAAAGAATCGTTTAGCACCCTTTACAAAATAGAGAAAGGATTTTTAAAAGTGCAGCAGTCTACTGAAATGTGACATGGTGAAGTTAAGGTAGCTTTAACAGAAATATATAAATACATATTCATGAGCATGCATCCACCCACACATATTTGTTTACTACTCTAAACAAATAGCAGCCTACAGTACCCAAATATCAAATGCAGAACATCACGAGCATTTTAACAGCACTTATCAAAAAATGTATCTAATGATAGAAAAACAAGAATTTTACTCTAACTGCATACCCATATGAGAAACTACACTCAACTCTCAATACTGCCATGGCAGAGCGTGATATGTTATTTTAGACATGAAAGGAAAATAATGGAATATTAATGGCAAATTGCATAATATTTTCTATGTTAGGAGAAAAAATGAACTATTTGGCTGCAGCCTCTGTTACTGTGGGATCAGAACACGGAGAACTGCTCTCTGATATCATTTAAAAAAAGACTGAATGACTTAAAAATGACAGAAGTTACAGTATTTCCCTGCTTAGCTTTTAAAAACATTGGTAAGAATGCATCACTAAGCTTTGGTTTTGCTCTTCCTGTTGTGTTAAGGATCAGCTGCTCAAAGCCATGTTTCATATTACAGCCAAAGACGGACAAAATCCTATCAATCTTTCACAAGAAATAGATCGCCAAAGTACCACAGGCCTTTTGAACTAACACTAAATCGGCATGAGAGTCAACAAACAACTTAAGTTGTATGCATAGACATTCATAAACCAGAAAATGTAAACTTAGGAGATGCTTTTCAGCTACTATTCTGTTTCCTCTGTGCGCGCAGGACAATATTGCATTAATTGCGATTATTCTGGGGAGAAGAGAATGGCTGAGGAACAAATATATACTATGAAAAAAGTTCTAAACATTCATGAAATTTCAGGCTAGTTCATGATGAATATCTGTAAAGGAGTAGAATCACAGTTTACTGTTTATTCTTGAGTTTAACAATTTAAGAATTCAGCAAGCAGCCTCAACACTGAATTAACATCACTTTCTACTTCAGATTTCTCAAGCTTTTAGTTTTGTCATCAAAAAAACCGAATGAGTTCCATTGCGCTCGCTGTAAAAGATCAACTGGTACCCTCAAAAACAGCTCAAAGGTGTAAACTCAAAAAAAAGATAATATTTGCATATGTATTTGCACAATAGTATGGATATAATTTAAAAGGTGTTCCAGAGACTAAGCACTTTAAAATGTCTGTGATTTCAAAATGATGCTATGGGGTTTTTACAAACTTAGATTCAAATCGGAATCCTAGGATCAAGATGCCAAAAATATGTGTATTTTAAACTTACAAAGTCTGTTAACTTTTCAAAACATGCACTTCACCTTTGTTCTTGCAACCGGATCTCTGCAAGCCAACTTCAAAATCATGCAAAAGCCTCAAGGCATCCAAATCAGCTGTGTGTACAGCTTAGGACCTCAACATGCATGCTTCTGTGCAGGCTTTATCTAAAGCAACTGGATTATCCCTAACTTAATGAATATGAACGGTAACATCAAGTTCAGCAGAACTACTCACATTTAGGAAGTTAAGCATGTGAATATTTGCAGACCTTTTGGCCCTAGTGTACCCACAAAAGTACACAGCATTAACAATAAAAAACGTAGTTTTCACCTCAAAAGCATTTCAGACTATTTCCCTCAAAGCCCCTTAAAAGTTTACACAAGAAGATAACACTCAAACACAGGTAGCTCAAAACGTACTCCCAAAAAGTTTAAGTAAAAAGCAGCCAGACACTACAGTAGAAACACTTCTGCAGTTTTATCTGTGTCTGGTAAAATCGGCGTTTGCAATACTATACCAGTCACTAGGTCGATAATCAACTGAAATACGATCACAAGAGAAAAAGTAAGTGAAGGAGTCACTGTAAACAAGAGGCGCTGATGCTGCAACATGCAATAGGTGAATGAACTGCTGCATCTTTAAAAAAGATGCAAAAGATGCAACTGTTGCATCTTTAGAAAGATGCAGCAAGGCTTCAGTGCAGTCCACCTACATGCAAGGCTTAGGGAAAACAATTCTCCAGCGACTATCAAAGTCAGCAAGAAAATGAAACGCAACCAGGACTTAGACTGGTTCTCCGCCTAAGTCACTCGCGCCTGAGACCTGACCATCCGTTACACCCCTCAAGACACCACAGGCCGAAAAGGCATTTAGGGAGCCTGGCCTGACCCGTGCCGTTCCCGGACTTCTGAGCGCTCCGGCCGAACCACGCAACTATCAGGCGAACGGGACGCGCGCGTTCCGGCCTCGCTCGCAGCCCGCGGCCGCCGCCCCGCGCT